ACGTGTTAGTATTCCATTAACTTTATTTAAATCACTTTCCTTCCGATAAGTTTTTGTCACCTTATAATGTAATCGATATGAGAAGTATGTTCCTTTTTTGTTTTTGAACTCCCCCATTTATTTACTGGCTTTCATTCCACATTTGGCAATGGCAATTTGTCAAAAATAGTTAATATTTCCTCAATCAATGCCAATGGTCATTCGTCAAACTATGAACTCGCCACTAAAGTGAGCGGCAATGCAACTTTTGCTTATTGACTGACGACCGCGACGCGACTTTGCACTTTTGTCGTAATGTTACGATTGTAATTGAAGGGTTAATGTGTCGTCGGTACGTAGCATGTAATAACATAAAACACAAACGAAATATCTAAAGAAGCAGAAACAGAAAAGAAATAAAGACAAAGTAATGCCGATTAAACGCTTAAACGTGGGCGCCAATAACTCACTTTTTGGCTTCAACTCAGATCTCTAATGTCTAACCGAGTCCAAGTGTGTGGTATGATAGTATGTGAAAAACTCGTTAAGCTAATCGATGGCATACAAGGAAAGGAAAACTGCTGATGAACCGATCGCCAGTTTGGGCAAATTGTATGTCTGAGGCATTCGTCATTACTTGAAATGAGCCAAAATTGTACTGTCTCTTAAATGGTCACTTGTATTGTTCGGTGATATATGCAGTGATGGAGAGAGAGGAGAGTGGGGTCTGGCACGCAGTTGATTCTAAGGAATACCAAACCAACCAATAGAAAAATTAAATGCGGCATTATTTTTTATTAGTTTTCACATTCAATTAAAAATGCCAACCACGTTCATATTCGTTGGTTGGTTATAACTGATTTAAGTGGCCAAGTGGAATAGAAAAAGAAGTGGGTGAGCTGATTTCGCTTGTAAGAGCCGTTTCTAACAATGCCACAGCGATCAAACGTCATTGACTCCAATGTTGATCCAATTCCATTGATTCTAATGAATGAATAGTCAGTATATAGCCATTTGGGCGATTAATTATATAAGTTGGACAGATGTGTGTTTTATTTGGTGGTGTTGTTGTGGGCTAGAATTCGTACGACGCCAAACTATGTGTTTGCTTGCTACTTCCATGAAATATAGAATTGTTTTAGCTTGTGCGCTGAGTCTTGTGTCGGATACGCAAATTGATCAAAATGTTAGAAAGCCAAATGAATTCGTTTTTTTCGTTCTTCTTCTTCTTCTTCTTCTTCTGTTGTTGTTGTTGTTTCTTATTATAGAACAACACATTCAGCAGCAGCATTTTGTTGTGGTTGTTGGTATATGGCGTTGCTCATCATCATACAGTATTAGCATCGCCATCATCAGCATCAGCAACACAATTGTATTTTAAGATTCGTACGTATTTTTGTTTTCGACTGGGTATTAGTCAGCAGCTGTAGCATTGGCATCACCTATGTGTGTACATTGGCAAGGAGGGAGCTTCGAGTCAGCGGCACTCACTGGGAAATTTCTTTGGCAGACTAAATAAATAAAAAAAGTTCATTATAGTTTTTGGTGGAAAAAATTGACTTTGATATTCATTTCCATTTCTATAAATATATGCAAGTGTGTGTTTGTGAATGATTAGGAATTCCACATTAATTACAATCCTCCATAAACGAGTATGGGAGCGTGACTTTGGTATAGGAAAAATGCTCCATTTGAATCCATTAATGATTTATGTTTTTATTGGCTCTATTATTTTTTCTAAAGTGTAAATAAATTTGATTTATTATTTTAATGACGGATACAATAGATTGACTTACGAGGCATCACAGAATTTACGACAAATTAAATTTAAAGTTGTAGGTTTTTTTAGAAATGTTATACAAATGTTTCAAAAACATCTGATTTTAGGGTAATTTTAAATATAGTAAAATTTACCATATTCCATTTATTAAAATCAGTATTAAAAAATAAACACAAAAATCAATTGGTAAAATAAAAAAATAAATATAACTGCAAAAAAGGGGCAAAAACCCCCAATTTCAAAAGTTCCAGTAACGTAAATTAAGATAAATAAATTTATTGTTTACTTTTTTTATAACAAAAAATAAATACGATTTTAAAGTCATTTTATGAAAAGATTTATAACAAAAAAATATACATACATACTTATATTTATTACGACCAGTACAAAAACAACAACACCTCCTACGCTGGTCTCAAAATAATGGCAAAAGCAGGCAGTCCAAACAGCAACGATACGCCACTACCTACTCACCATTGAACGGATACGGATGGATGGTCCGTCCGTCAGTCAGTCCGTCAAAAAGACAGCCAAACAACCATTCATAGAAATATTAGAAGAAACGAATCGACAACAAAAATCAAATGCAAATTGTCAAAATAAATCAAAAAAGTGACACTGAACATAAAATAGTAAAAAATAAAACAAGTGCAACTCGTTTAATCATATTTGTACGTGTGTGTGTTTTTTATGCAAACCTTAAATGAAAAATGAAAACAACAAACAAAAGTGAAATAAATTTATAAAAATAAGTCAAAAGTGATGTCACGAAAGAAACAAAATAAAGCAAAAATCGAATAAAAAATATTTAAAAACTGTGAAATCAACAATTCGTTGTTCTACCGTTGTTGCTGTTGTTGTTATCTGCTCTCGTCTTCTCAAGATCTGATGCTGTCATTTGAGTTAATTCTACATCTCATACATGTATTTTATACATTTATAAAAAAAAAACAACTCATAACAAAACACCAACCAGACTGTGGTGCTCACGAGATCAATTCGTTTTCAAAGGAAAAGAGACAACGGTTATTAGCAGAGGTCGAGTGTTTGTATGGGTGTGTGCTGTGTCAAGAGTAAAGAAACACTACTGCTGTTTGGGGCTCTATCGTTTGGCGCGGCAAATGTTTATTAGTTAGATTTTTGCACAAATACACATTCACAAATACAATATTCTTCTCGCATATTTCCATTGAGTGTTAATGAGAATGATTGTGGCAGAGAACATATTGTTGTTGTTTTTTTTTTCAAATTTGGAGTAAGTTTTTAATAGCTCCACAATAGATGATCATTGATATGTTTATGACCAACCAACAATCAGCAGACATTGCCGACACTTAACCTCCGGCATCTATGCCTAACGCCAATAACACCTACGTCCCCAATCGTCTCCCCCACGCAGACGAACACATACATTCACACATATCGTATAATATTGGCGTTTGCTGCCGTCTTGAGTAAATGAAAACATTGATCATGATCGAAATCGAAATTCTCGCAGATCTCTGGCATACGTACGTACATACAAACATATTTACAAAACCAAACATTTGGTTGGCGTCTCTGTTGTTTATTTTTGCAGTCATTACCGACGCCGCTGGCGTATTCGTATTGAACAAGTTAATGTGTGTTTCGTTTTTGCGGAATTACGTCAGCACAGTGCTAAACTTTTTATATCACTGTTTGTAGCAATACTATGTTTTGCCTGGACATTTAACCCATTGTTATCGAAAGATATGAGATTTTAAAACTCGAATCATACCTATAATGAACCTGGGTTTGTTGATATGTCAACGTAACTACCAAAATTGTGTTAACAGGGAAGGTTATAGTTGAAATTTCCATCCGTCTTGAATTTCAAAATTGTCTAGGTTTTGGCAGTTATGTGGATTAATGTTTTATGTTATCAATTGTGCTGATTTTAAAACATGCAATAGAGATTAATATAAATTTATTTTTGCATGCATAAAGTATACAACGAGAGAATATGCAAATTAGGCCTTCTATGGATCAGAACCATCTGCAGTAATAATAGGAAGATATACTTGAAGGATTATAGAAACACATAGCAGTCCTTCAGATTGGCAAGTTCATATATTCAGCATACAATATTTTTTTTCCTTCGAATCTCCCACACAAGCGACCAGAGTGGGTTAAGAGAGACACAAAAAATGGAGCTATGACGTTGGGGCGCTCAATTTCCAAGCCTGACAAACTCAAAATGTGACAAAATACACAACAATTATTGTTTATATGATCGTGTGCGTATTTTATGTTTTTGTTTTCTGAGGTTCAGCTAGTTGTCTTTTTAGGCCAACCTTGACTTGTTACTTTAGATATAAAAACTCATAAAAAACAACTGAAATATGTTTGTATCTGTGTAAATATGTAGAGCACCAATATGTAGAGTAAACAATGACAGTGCCTCAAAAGGGGTAACTGAATAACATTTTAATTGATGAATCGATAATGTTTAAATTCATATATGTGGTATACAAATCGCTAGTATGACTGATGAAAAAATGATTTGTTTTTTGTATTTTTTGAGCCACTGTCATCTGATGTTTTTCTCGCCTAAATTGTGTTCTTGAATAGTGTCTACCTCGGCCTATGACGACAATGTTTCTGTAAAGATAGGTAATTTGATCGTTTCTAATTGCTTATAAAAAGCCTTATGGTGTTTGGCGCATCTTCGTTGTTGTTTCTCAGACTATATTTCGTTTTTTTTTTTGCTAACAAGGGGTGATAACGTCTAGATATGAAAGAACAAAAAAAAAAACATCGCAAGTCTGGTGAATGTACCCATCTACAATTCATGATGTACAGCAAAAGACCTTGAGAAAGATTTGAATGAAACCCCCGCCCAAAAAAAAAAAAAAACATTAAATTGAATGGAATGTAGAATTATTTCATATCATAGAACAATAACCGCAGCAGCAATTTATCAATTTTACAATTGTGTTTTTCCACTTTATATAGATAACAACAGCAACAACATCATCATCATCTGTAACCTTGGAAAATTAATAAACGAACGAGCCCTTATTCTAACGCAACAAATAATGACGAATTCTAATTAAGTTATCCAAAAAAAAAAAAATATATATTAGAAATCGGATTTCGAAATAAATAAAAAATCTTTGTGTCTGTGTGTGTGTTCATCTATTACTTTTCGATCAATAAATAATTCGGAAACACCAATATCACGCAATCGCCATCACCTCTTCAAGATATAAAAAAATCTTCTTAGAAGTGAAAACAACACATTTTCAACATGAAAAAACTTCAATCGACGACAACGGCACGGCATCGATCCTTACCGGCCGCACGCCACAGCAACAATTATTACATCACGAAAACTACCTCGGGCTGGATGATCATCTTGGCCATCTGTTGTTCAACATTAGTGTGGCCTCTGGCCACAGCCTACAACGTTGATATACCCACATATGTAATACACCAGCGGCCAGAACATGATTCCATGTTTGGTTTCAGCATTGCCCTGCACAAGGGGCAATACACAAATTCGTAAGTATCCAATTGAAAATTCATTCTTAATTTTAGCAATATAATTATTAAGTAATTTTGAAATGTAATGAGAGGTGTCAAGTTGAAGTGTCGTGTTGGTTGACGGAAATCAGATGAATCTGTGGATAAAAGTTTTTTTTTACAAAAAATTTGTAACAACCCATCAAACTAATATTTGAAAGTTGGAAATCTAGGGTTATGGTCTAGGGTTCTTAGTAACGGCTATGTTTTGGAACCTTATGAGTAAGGTTTCAAATACAGTGTCTGTAATTTTTTCTATATTAATATTATCCTATTTATAACATTCCTCCGCATCTCCCTGTAAAGTGATTTAATTCGCCACGCTTTGTTTGGTAACCTAGTTTTTTTTTCCTGAGTTTTGATTTATTGGGGGTGTCTTAACGAACCCTACAGAATCCCTTAGGTTCCTCTTGGAATTAATCTCTTCATACATTTTTTGGATAATTTAATAAATTACTTTATTTCAAGAGAACAGAAAACAAACTCCGATGAGATAAACGTTGGTCGCTTATCGTCATAGAGTGTTGGTGTAGTTTTTGTTCTTCATATGAAAATGCGGCATGTTATAAGCAGATAAATAATTGTGCTTAAATATTCAAGTGAAGATATAACAATAAGTAAACAAGCACATTCGTGTGTATTACTTCTTACCCCACCCCCTTCTCACAAAAGATAAGGCATTTGTTGTTGTCGGGTTACATGGAAACAGATAAATGAGGGAAAATGATAAATAACCATACTTTGGTATAAGAGAGAAGAAAAACCTGCCGTTGGGAAGCTGAAAAAGAAAAACCCGCATTAGAATAAAATCACGAATTCAGTTATATCCTTAATTCGTGGGAGCTATCTTGGTTGGATATCTTATCGGGGTTCGAAACACAGATAATGTATTTTACTCAATTCCGAGGCCAACCAATTCACCTCCATTATATCTCGTATAATTCCATATCGGGAGTTTTCCGACTTCTTGGGACTCAATTGTTCGACCAGCGTCAGCTGTTCATCCCGACCACTTTTCCTATAATTATCATGAGTCCCCAATTGTTGGCTTAACACGTAAGTTTATATTTTACAATTTTGAAGGACTGACAGTCAGTGACATGTGATAAATTGGACTTTATGGTTCCCCTAAATCGATGGTTTTTACTTATTGAACATGTCTGATTCAAAATCTCAATTTCTAGAAAAAGTGGACTTACACCATCGATGTATATATCTGCTATGATTCATATCCTTGAGTTTAATTTCAAATCGAAATACAAATATTTATTTAATGTGGAATCTTTGTAACAATCATACCACAACACAATTTAAATACTAAATGAAATCACATTGTATAACCACATCCCCCACATATGACCTTAAGTAAAGCACTCCCTCCCAAATAAATATGACTATTTCAACGTGAGACTTTTTTGCGAGTCATATGAAATATGAACACTTAAGTCGAGCAAGCCTACAAAGTTATATGAATGTAAAATGCATGGATCCATTAGTTAGATGGTTGGCTGACTGATTGGCTGGCCGGTCGTTTGCTTGGTAAGCCGACAGCTGTATTCTGCTTATGATCTGTTTAATACGATAGCCTTTGATCGCTCATCTTGCTCGCTTATGTCTATTTTTTTTTTGCTATGAATGCAAACATACGAGTATGTGTGTATGTTTTTGAATTTGTTGCCTACAAACGGAGAACTCTCACTTGAACTCGTTGACTACATTAATCAAAAATTTCTTTTGTTTTTTTTTTTGAATATACGAATCTTCTTGTCTAATGTCAAAAGTCGCACATTGAGATTTTTCCAACAAGGGTTAGATATTGGCAAGGTAACACCGATAAATCGATGCACTTACATGAAGAATGTGTGAAGAGAATTTCATTCCTCTTTGGGGCCATATATGTAGTACGATACATATCCCTAGCCAAAAGAAAAAAGTCTTTAATAAACTTCCATTAATTTTTTTTTTGGGATTTCTTTTTATTACCTTAAAAGTTAAGAAATATTTGTTTCTTAATTCGTTTTTCTTTGTTTGTTTATTTTTAAAATGAAAATTGTAAACCGCAGGCACATACATACACACACATTTTAGTACAAGCTTTTTGTGTTGTAGTGGCTAGTTGACTGGTCCATTGGATTTAACGTTGTGTGCTCATGTAAAGATATTAGGATGCTCTAATCGATATATTGAATAAAAAAACATTCACAATGGTTTTATATCAATTTCAAATGTCTATAATCTTAAAAAAAAATTATTTGTTTTTTTTGAAAAAATATCTTTACATATCGGATAATTTGTTCGGTGAGCGGCAGAACACCATCAGTTCATGGCTTCATATTTATTGGAAACGAAGTGACACCCTAATATATTTACATTTAGTGAATACATGCTGTAAATCTGTAACTTACCAAATCTTTGTGTGTTTATATTTGTGCCCCAAATAGCTTTTAATGGTTTGCTAAAATATTTACATTGTTCTTGTAAAATGTATTTTTTCCTTTTTAAAACAAATTCCTTAAAATGGCCTGAATAAAGGCCGAAATTGTTAAAAAAAATAATCAAGAAAATTGTTAAAATAAAATTACTAAAATTACTAGAATACTTTAAATTTTCTTGGATATTTTGGGACATGATACAGTTTTCAAAAACTAAAACACTTCTCCCCATATTTGTCTTCATATCTACATATGTTCAAATGCATTTACAAACAACAACAACATATCCCCAATGAAAAAAGTGTTTTATTCTTTGTTTTGTTAAACTTTTACACTTTTGTGTTGACACTAGATAAAACCCATGGCTGGCTGCAGGGAACTTTATTGTTTCCCTCTCCAGTTGCAACGACAACCAGCTACCGATGGTGCAAATTTATTTGTTTAGCATTCTATGTTGAGTTGTTGAGAAAACAAGTGATAACCATTTAGTGGCTACATGTGTTCCTAACGTTCTGCAAATACTTTGGAAATCCATTCAATCCGCCACTTGAACACTTGAGAAGTTAGCACTTCAGATAATAACGAAGCAGCCAAATGTAACAGCAGTGGCAACGAACAGTCGTCCGTCATTGGCCGTAAGTCAAGAGTGGGCAATCACGTTAACACAATGCACTTTTGGTCAACAAATCCCAAATATTGGGTCACACTTTCCTTAAAAGAACCAAATCCAAATAGCCAACCATGTCAGACGCACACAAACACCGGGTAAGAGTTGTTGTTGTGGAGCGTTCAAAAAGAACTGGTCAGCAGCATACATGTTGCAGTCAATGTGGCAATACTTCAGCAAGTAGCCCACCTAATTAGTATGATGGCCAAGAACAAATTGTGGTTTAAGCCATAACATCAATTGCCAATGATGATGACCCATTCAGGTGGTGCAAAAGATGTTGTTGTGCCATTGTTCGAACATGGTTAAATAGTGCACGACTACGAAAACGATGGACAAATGACCAATTTTGGTTATGGATTTAATGTTTAAATGACCACCACACTCGATGCGTATTGCCTGCAAGTTGCCTTATGCGGCTGATAGATAGTTGGATTGGCTGGATTGGTCGGATTGGTCGGATCTTGTACTCAAAGAGTCGCATTGCGGACTTTGACATACATTCCTCTATTTCTTCTTCTTCTTCTTGTTTGTTATGTAGGAAATATATATAAATGGCAACAATTACTCGACCTGTATCATGACTTAACAATGTCTAGTATGATGTAGACAAGATTTGATATTGCGATACTTTCTGGAAATATACAATTGATGGAAAGTTTTATTTTTTTATGTAGGGGCACACAGAAGGTTATGGCTTCAAAGTCGTTGATGCGAGAAACATTATTAACATAACGAGAACATCATATTCTAAATAAAGAATAATTATAAATACATAATAATTCGATGTTCTATATAGAAAACAAAGTTTTGTTAATTTTATGCAAGCATCAGCGATAATTGTGAAGAGACATCACAATTTAACAAAAAATAATAATAATAATAATAATTTTCTGGATATTAACAATTAATTGGTCTGTTCCAGTATTTTTTTTTAATAGTATAGCTAGTAAAAGGGAAACATTTTAAAATCGCTCTCAGAGTACAAAATAATTTAAAAAGTTCGGGAACGGAAATCTAGTAAATATGCCAAAATTAGATGGCAATACTTCAAAATCAATATAACTGCCAATCAGAAGTAGGCATCCCTGCTTACCATGTTTACTCGTCCAGATTTCTCGAGTAAAAAGTTTACAAAGAGAACGCCATTTTGTTTTGTGCTCTCTTAAATTTGATTCAATGTTTTACCAGTTTTGTGGGTTCAGGAACGGGTTTCGAGTAAAAAGTTTCTAAACTCTTTTAGGTTCTGGAACGAAACTAATATGATGTTACCAGTCCATGCCAAAATCCAGTATATTCAATAGAATTTTTTCCAAAGTGTTTATGTAAGGACTATTTTTATGTCTATGTCTAACATAATATCCCAACACTTAATATCATTAAATATATATTTAATGGTTCATTTATAAATACCTACCCACACACACACCCTACGACCCATTGGAATACATCTGCTTTAGTAATGGTGTTTTCATTTGTAATAAATAATGAAATTAAAACAATATTTTATTTCCCATTTTCCTAGAAAAATAGTTCCATTTCATATTTGTTTGCTTGAATGGCTTCACCAAAGGCGTTCTGCATTGTTTTCGGTGGGCAAACACAAACCAAATATCGAGATCGATAATAGATCTCGGGACTGAACCTAAACAAACAAATTATCTGTGTATTTTACTGGACGTGACATGTCATGCATGAGTAATAACAAGGAACCAAACTCAATTTCCTCCTTGAGGCTGTTTTCCTGTTTGTTTGATTGGCTGACTGGCTGCCAGGCAGGCTGCCTTGTCGGCATAGCTGATGTTTAGTTAATAGCTGCAGGGCATTGTTATTATTTTTCACTTTCGGCGACAAAATAGAGTTGACAAACATGAAACAAT